GCCGAAGGCAGACGCTTAACGACTGAGCCACCCAGGCGCCCCTTGTCTCTATTCATTTGCAGTTACTTTAAACTATAGCTTGGGGGCCTGAATTTCTTAGTTGAGTGCCTAAAATGCCTTGATAGTTCATGTAAGTAATGAATGAAAAATGGCAAATATGTAAGTTACTCACTTAATAAAGCAATTAGAAAAGACAATGTGTGAGAGAGTTTAAAAAGTAGAGAAGCTTTGATATATCTTTAAAAGAGGATCATTAACTGCAAACAGAATTACAAAAATGTTAGAAGTTCAATTTTCTGGGCCTAGGCTTAATTAAAAGTGGACTAGAGGCATCAAAGATGAAAAGAAATAGGAATGAATGAATTTCAACCTAGTTGTAACTGAGATCTCAATCCGTCCAGAATCATCCCCAACCTCATTAGAAGCACTGATTACATAAACCCCCATGTCATTTTGAGTAGCATGACACAAGGTAAGTATTCCATTCTTTGAACACAGTAATTTCATTGGCCAGATCAACTCTTTTCAGGATAATCGCTACAGGTGGATGACCAAAAGTTTTACATAAAATTATGATATTTTCCCCTTCTTTAACATTTCTAGATGGATGAATTGATATTGTCATGTTTCGAGGAGATACTGTGAAGACAGAAAACATATGGTAAGGCTTGCAATGTTGAGAAATTTGGCCAAATGAGTAGAACTTTTACCTGTTTTCGGACCTAAGTTCAAATTTTCTTTACACTGACATGTGGTTGCAAACTCTGATAGCCAAGTGCACAGGCTCCAAGAGTTGCATTTGTTTGCAGTCCTGTTCACCCCAAGTGTAGCTTCCAATACAAGGCATGGGGACTGATTAGTAAAGGCTAACATATTCTGCTTACACCAATAAGATCAACAGATCCTACTGTGCATTCACAAGAGGGGTTAGGAAGTTAAACGGCCCCTGAAGTTTCTTTGCTGAGGCCATTGCTCACCCCACCCCTGCTCAGAATAGGGTAGGATGGACAAGGGGCTTGGACTTTTAAGAAAGCAATTTTGTAGTCTAAAGATTCTTATATGTTGTTCAGCATCAAGATTGCCACTTCTGATTATTATCTTGAAAGAAGTCAATCCAGAAAATAGGCAACTAATCCATGTTCAGAGAACAGCGTTCCCTTCTGGTAGGAGGGACAAGAGTCTGGGTAGAAACTTTTTTCTTCATTGTGCCAATCCTACTTCTTTAGTTTCCTTATCACCTCCAGGGAAAGGTTTTGAACGTATGTTTAAACACTTAGGAAATGCAAGACTTCAGAGACCAATGATGAATTGTCAACTTTGAGAAAAGCAAATGGGAATCCTGTACTCACCAATGATTCATGTCAACTTCCTGTCTAAACTCCATAGGATAGGACAGCTGTGCATGATTATTTTAGGGAACATTGAGAAATAACCATAGTCAACATGGAATTCAGCTCCATTTTGCCAACTCATTTACCTGATCCTGGAAAATCTTTACAATCCACCAAACCTCTGACTATTATTAAAAAATCACCAAAAACAAAAACAAAAAACTAACTAACCTTTAACATCGAGGGTTAAACTTCTTAATTGCAAGCCAACCTCATTTTTAGATTCACATTCGTACACTCCCGCATCCTCTAACTGGACCTTGTGAATGGTATATGCACCATCTCTGGACTTTAGCACTGTGTCTCCCGTCTCTGCTTTTTTCTTCAGGATTATCCAAGTTTTTGGAACATTTCCACATGTACAGGAGATAATGACAGTGTCTCCTTCCTTGACACTCTTAGAAGGAAAAGCTATAAGTTGTATGTCTTTCGGAGCAACTGTAAAGAGAATTTAAAAGGCACCTCTGATTGGGTGAAATTTATAAACCACTTTCATATTAATTTAATGACAGCAACAATTAGCTGTCAGGGACCTATTTGTGCTTACTGTTTGCATTAAATGTTTACAGGGGCAAGTAAAGAAGTCAAGGATTAACTGGTTTGTTATAAATGATCGTGTTTTTAATAAGATAAGACCTGTCTGTACTTCTCTCATGTCCCTTAATCTAATTCTTTATCCAGACTAGCCAAAAAATGGTATTTGATAAACAGCAATAGAATTCAAATGTGAAAAAAAAACATTTCTTTCTGTCACAATGTTGTGCAAAGTTTTACTTTGAAGTACAAAGGTCTTTACAGGCTTCTGAGTTTTGAGTTGGATTTTCCTGGATCAAGTTATGCAGAGATGGTTTTCTTACTATTCTTTTTTTTCCTTACTATTCTTAACAACCATAACTACCATTTACTAAGTGGTGGGCACTGGGCTAAGTATTTGATATGCAACATCTCTATTAATACACAGCCCATGGAAGAAGGTATCATATCACCATTTTATAAGTGAGATTCCCATTAAGTTCATCTATTTTTGTGACTTGATTTGAGATTCTTCCCCCAAACACAGCTATGGAACCATGATATCCATCCTAAAGGCTTTCTTTAAGGTTGTGCATTGCCCTTCCAAGGTTGTTTATTTAAAATACAAATTATCACTAAAATGAAGTAACAAGAAAATCACTAATACCTTAGTGGAAATAATACCGGGGAGTAAGAGAGCTCCAGTGGGGGAAAAAAAAAAAGGAACCTTTTTTTTAATCCCCAAAAGGGAGGGGTGGGGAGAAATCCAAATAGATCACTTCATGCTTTTGCCCAAAACTACCTATGGATTCAACCTGTCAACTAGGAATTGTTTTGTTCTCAGTCTTGGCTCTCTGTCCTGGAGAGAGGGGTTCCGGAACTGATAACTGAAGCCATTATAGTGGTTCTATGGCAACAAGTTGATGAACCAGAGGCATGGACACTGCTACTTTTAACCTCAAAATTTACAAAAGGTTTACATGCCTTCTTAGGCTTCTAAGCAAATACTAGCATGTACCTTGTAAGAATACCACTCAGAGTCTAGTTCTGCCAGATATGGTTGCTTTAATCCTAACTAATTTCCAAATACATATATATCTCATCCTATCCCTATTTCAACACCATAATCATTGCCTCATAAGTGTAACTGGATCTCCTGGCACCATTCCTGCAGCTAGCATTCCCCTCGAGGTTAAAGAATTTTAGGATAAGAGATGTGGAATGGTTTATGAGGAAGTACCATTCCAGGAACTTTCCAAGCATAGGAAACATCAGGAGCTCTTCAAAACTCCCAATCTATGTTTTTAGTAAAAATTTTGGTTCCAGAGAGGACTTTGTTCAAAACCAGCAACAACCAAAATAATACTAGCAATAATAACTCATTAATCACATTTTACTTACCTTGGATAATTAATTCTACTTCTTTTTTGCTTCTTCCAGCCTGGTTAATCCCTTCACACACATAAATACCAGAATCTTCCATTTTTGTAGAAGTTAAGGTGAGAGTTGAATTCTCAGAAAGAAGCTGTAGATGCCCATTATTTAGCTGCCTGCTCCACAGGATTTCTGGAGCTGGAAGGCCATTGCTAAAGCACGTCATATTCACAGAACTACCTTCCTCCAGGATGGAGGAGGGGCTGACCAAGATGGTTGTATCCCTGGGGGCAACTGAAAAGGTAGGGACACTTGTTAGTTTGACCCTTTATACCCTGAGTTCCAAAAAGTCTTAATAATGTTGCAAAATTGAGCTATGGATTTAATGGATTGGAACCATTTATTAATGTCAATAACTTTACCAAAGGAAGGTTTCTATCCCCATTTACTTAAGCAGACAGAATAATAGACAGTAGAATGTGAACATATCATGGATGTTTTCTAATAGACATAAGTTCTATAGAAAGTCTCTTACTACAAAAAATGGATGATCACTGATAGTGTGTATCGACATTTATGGTACATTAAACATGACCAAAAATTATTTGAATCCCTTACGAGAAGGTGGAGTTCATTTTTCCACATCTCTAATCTTGGCTGGCTTCGTGATTCACTTTGACCAATATAACATGAAAGAAGTAACACTGTAGGATTTCCAAGCTTGAGCCTGCTTTCATTATCACCCCTCCGAAACGCAGCACTCTGGTGACTAAACCTATTCCACCTTCCTTCAGGAGGAAACAGCACATAGAGAAAGGGAGGCGCAGAAACCCCAGAGAAGATTCCAGACATACAAATGAGTCCATCTGTGACCAGCCATCCCCCACTGACCTGCCAATTGACTGAAAATGCATGGGTGAGTTCATCTGATACCACAGTGAGGAGATGAACTGCCCTTCTGACCCCTTCTAGAATTGCCAACTCATGGAATCATAAGCTAATAAATTATTATTGTTTTAAGTGTTAGGAGTGGTTTGTTATAATAATTACTTTAAAATTTCTTCCCCGGTTACTTTTTTTTTTCCACAGAGGTTTTAGCTCTTAACTTCATGTTAACTATTGCCTGACAAACATGATAAGAAACCCATATTTAAATTGTGGTTACATCACACATGTACTTACCGTTAACATAAAGCGTCTGTGTACTCTGCCTTTGTTTGGGTTCAAATTCCATTTCACCAACATGTAACTGAGCCAGACAAACAAGAACTTTTCCAGCATCTTCAGTGGTGGGGATGAAGGTCATTTCCAAACTCTTAGTCTCCAGAGATTTCTTGTCCATGTCCTCCAGAAAGGTTTTACTCTCTATGATACTCTCCCCCTTAAATAATTCAATCTCCAGCCGGTCAGAAGGATACACACTAGGAACCTCGCAGCTCACAGTGACTGGGTTTCCACTCACTAGTAGACCACTCATCTCGATCTCTGGATCTCTAGGGAATGCTGCAAATATCATGTAAAAATGATGTTTATATGTGACCATTCAAAGGAAAAATGGAACTAAATCTCTATTAAATGCAAAGGCCTCAAAATGACAGTTTTAACTCACTTGGGATAGAATGATCACCAATACATAAATAATGACATTAAGCATACATATTTATGATATTAAATATAAATAAGGCTATCAACAAAAATACTTAATACATGAATCAATCAAGAAATAAATATACTGGGGCGCCTGGGTGGCTCAGTTGGTTAGGCGACTGCCTTCGGCTCAGGTCGTGATCCTAGAGTCCTGGGACCGAGTCCCACATCGGGCTCCCTGCTCAGCGGGGAGTCTGCTTCTCCCTCTGACCCTCCCCACTCTCATGTGCTCTCTAGCTCATTCTCTCTCTCAAATAAATAAATAAAATCTTTAAAAAAAAAAAGAAAGAAATATACTTCCTATTTTTCTCTTCTTAGTGATATGCAATCTTTCTGACAGCCAAGGACTGGCTTTTTGGAAGGAACATGAGTTTCCACCATCTTATTTAGCAACTATACATTTTAAATGTTTTAAATATTTCCCATGATGTATTGAATATTAATTGTGTGTTGTTCTCTTAAAATGCATTATCTCGGTCATTAAAACAGCCTGATAAAATAGGTGTCGTTTAACTTATTTTATAGGTAGGAAAACTTACAGAGAACTTATTTTATAGTTAGGAAAACTTATAAACCTTATAGAAGCTCAGAGACTCTCATTAGGTATTGTATCTATTAAGCCACTGAGTTGCGATCAGAACCCTTATTTCTCTGAGCTCAGAACCCAGGCTTGGTTTCACGGAGCTGTGTAGCCTCTGGGTATCAAATAAGACCCACAGGGCAGTTCTCAATTTAGACATTTTAATTTCCAATGGCCAGGTTTAGACAGTAAATTTTAAATGTTTCTCAGACAGTATTTGTAGTTAACAAAAAGCTATGAGACTTAGATTCTAAATAATTACACTACGTCTTATGCAAACCAATAAAAATAAGACTAAAATAGTTATCAAGAATAAGAGCCATGTTAAAATTTTTTCTCCTTAAGCAAGATGTTGTTAAATTTTCAAATATTTCCATATTGCAGTAAGGCTGTACCGCAGGTTCCCCTTTCTGTTGGGAATGTGCCTACATCAGCAGATCCTGGATTCTGGGTAATATGATAACCCAGTAAAATTTACCCTTATTTTGAGAGGTTCAAATCCCTTCACAGACATACTCTAACCCATGCTAAACAAAATCCTGATGGGCAACACAAGTTTGGGCAGGTTTTCTGGTAGAAAATGTTCTATTTTCTCTTGAATTCAAGGCAGAGAAACTGTCTCAAAGTAATCCATTTTCAGGTCACTTTGCATATTTTGTCATTCATTCATTACAATGGAGGAATTCCAGGATATCGAATTCATAGAGATTCGAGACTGTAAATGATTTTTATTAAGGTGACAGGAATCGCAAGAAGAAGTGCGGCGGACGTATGCAGTGGAATCAAGATTAAGATCTAGTGCTAACGTCACCTGAGCAGCTGCCACTGGCCATCCCCTAGGACCAATATCACTACCTGTTTTCATTTTTGGCTTTCTCCTGCTCCCCCCTGCCTCATTTTTTCTCTCACCCTACCATTCAGCTTTCCGAATGTGCCTTCAAAATAGTAGGCTCGGGCCTCACCCTCTGTTCAAATAGCTGAGCAATAGTAACCCCTCTCCAGTCATCTGAATGGGTATTGACTCTCAATCTTTGCTCACTGCTACCTCTGAACACCCCCGTACACACAGAGGGGATGGGAAGCAGTGAATATGTAGTGCGTTCAAGTGCATGATGACAAAGTATTGCCAAGACACAAACTAAGGACTGTGGATGCTGTGTACGTCTATAATATACACTTAAGATTTGGGCCAATTAAGTTGCGTCAGAAATTCTGGTTCAGAGATTTAGGAACAATTCACAAGGCTAAATTCCCTTTCTAAACACATGGATCTCATTGTGTATCCCAGACTTGCATTCTGTTTCTTTCAATAAAACTGAGGGGGGAAAACAGCAAACAATTCTGAAAACCACTTACAGTAGAGGTCCACACTAATTCTCTTTTCCAGTTTCTTATGGCCACAGGTCACAGTGCACAGGTAAGAATGTTCATTCTCAAAATTCACAGGGCTCAGGGTCAGCGTGGATTTGGTCCCCTCAGTCTTCACCTGCCCACTCAGAGGGCTATCTATCTGTGTTCTCCAAGAGAAAGAGGGGGACTCACAGCCTGTGACACCACATGTCAACACAACTGAGTCGCCAATCTGAGCAATAACCTGGGGTCCGGGTGAGATCTCAACAGTGAATGGTTTCTCTAGCGGAAAAAGAACAAGACAAAAAGAAGGTAAGATTCTTTTCTTCCTTCACCACATTCCAATATATGGTCTTCCCCACCCCTACCCCCCCCCCCAATCTCTTTTTAGCTAACGTCTGTGCCAAGAAGAAATTACTCCTTTCCACCTTAGGACCATCCAGAAAGATGTTTTAAAGAATGAACCCACAAGAGTTCATTGACTCATTCATTTAACAGAATGAATGTGGATAAAAACTTGTCAGGACAGAAGTTGGCATCTTTTCATGACAATAATTCAGTCTCTCCTCAGCTGTAGTTTATCAAATATCTGTAATAGCGGACAACAGCTCAAACAATGTAAGAGGTTCCAGTGTATAAGCGTTGTGTAAACCACTTTGCCTGTATTAATTATCTCATTTAATCCTCACAACTTAATCCTTCTCTTTCACTTTCTCCTGCTTCTTCTCTTTATTTTCCTCTTCTTCTTTCTTCTTCCCCTATCACCCGCCTAATCCTCTTTCTCCTTACAGAAATTTAGGCTCAGAAATGCTAAATAACTTTATCTAGTTTGCAACTGGCAAAATTAGGACTTGAAGCCAAGTGGGTCTGATTCAAGATCCCAGCTTTTCAGTTGCTTGAACAACTAAATCAAGTCACCCTCATGTGGAGATAAAGCAAGATCTAAGAGAAGTTGTGGGAAAAGCTACAAAAATATGTCTTCCGATTAGATGCAATGCCCATAATGGACCAGCGCTTAGAGTTTCTGTGCCAACAATATAAAGTTATACCATTGAAAGCACACAGAATCACACTGAAAGCAAAGTCAAAATCTAAACATGAAAATGATATGCAAGCCACCTCTGAAATTTGTTTGATGCAATACGAAAATACTTTCAATTAATTCAGGAACTAAAAACTGAGATAGGAGGACAAACTGCTAAGTCTCAAATATCCAGAGGAGCTCTTTGGCTACAGTGCGGTCCCTGCTGGACCTACAGCCTGCCTTGGGATGCTTCCTGTCTAGGGAAAAAGGGAATTTCCAATCTCCACTCCCTGTTCCCTGAAGAAACTGGGAGTGGTTGGGCAACCCTGAAAGGGACAGATGAGACTCCACAGAAAATCACTAAAATTGTTCCCCCAAAGAGCAGACTGGAGATGGAGGAGAGAAATCTCAACATATAAGTAATCCAAATACACCACATTTTGCAGGTTTCTCATCTGCACCAGGAGAAGTTATTTTTCTCTTTGGTTTGTCTCACCGTGACATTGTAGTATCTTCCAAAGAAGGCTTTCCTCAAATTACCTCAATGAACTGATATGCTATTAGACTTTGAAAAAGAGAGATCATTCAGAACACTAACCAGAGTTTCTGAATTCCTTATATGCTAGTGTGGGAATGGGGAACTTGAAAACAGACCCACTTTCGGCCTGTGAAGCGCTCTCCGATCATTTTTTCCAATGGCTGCGTAATGTTATCAGGCAAAGTTGAGCCCCCTGTGGAGTAATTCTTAGGTAAATGGAAGGTCCTTTCAAAGTTCAATTCTCTCTTCAGTACTTAAGGTTGTTAATGTCCTGGGGCGCCTGGGTGGCTCAGTCGTTAAGCGTCTGCCTTCGGCTCAGGTTATGATCCCAGCATCCTGGGATCGAGCCC